TGTGCTGACTCTGGGCTAGGCACAAGGTCGACATGCAGCGAGTCTATAGACCTCAATGGCCGTGTCGGGGCCTTCCAATGCAAGTTGCGAAGAGGAAGGTGTGCAACCAAGTCTTCTTGTATCAACCCAAAGACCCCAGACGGATCATGGTACTCGACTGTAAAGAGTAAGCGGTGCTACGATGAAAGCGACCAGGGTGTGTGCGCACCCGTGACTTTTGAGCTTGAGAGCCCATCCATCACCGTAGGCTCGACTGGGGTTTGCCTAGAAGCATCCTCTGTGGCACCCAGGGTTGGCGTATCATTTGCAGCCACACTCATGAAACACGCACGCGACCGAAATACAAAGGAGAATTAACGGATTACTGTGCGGAATGAAGCTTGCTGGATTCTGCGGGAATTGATGCCGTTGCGAAATGAGGGCTGTACCTTGGATGGCTTCACCGCTAGCGTGGGTTAGCTTGTCGCAAGTCTAGCTCCAGACATAGCCCCACAATATCACGTGCAGGGACGTTCACCGGCCGACGTTATGTGTCTGAGCCACGTCCAATTGACCGATTTGTGATAAGCATTCAACGTTGTCGCTTCCCCTCGCACTGACTTTAAGCCTGATTTGCTCGGCCTTAAGCGATGCATTGTGGCGCTGTTCATGAGGCGCTCTGCATGCCGCATCGCATTCTTCGCTTTCCATAAAGACGCCGATCTTGATTGGTAGAGTTTGAGGCATTTTCCAAGTTGAGATGTCCACAACTCACGATGTGATGCCTTGCTTTCCGTCAGCGATTGCTCATAATGTGTTCTCTTTCAGCTCAGGCTTTCTTCTGAAAAGCCTTGCCCGTTGGCATTTGTTGCACTGCCTCTGAAATGCTCAAGTTGGTCTTCGAATATAGGGAAACAGAGGCTTGAGTATTTTACACCACCATACATCTAGTCTTGAACATCTCGATACCCTCTATCAACCCATTGTCTTACTGCACATCATTACACCACCAACGTACTCGACTTCTCCAAAGAGTCAGAATGGGAGCAGGAGATTACTCTTCAGGCAGCGTATGGTACTATGCGCCCAACAAAGCAGCCCCGATCCTGTTCATAGTCCTCTTCTCAATATCAGGAGCCCTTCACATATGGCAAACAATGTTTGTATGAACATCTCTCCCTCTTACCTGTACTCTAACACTACCAAGCAAATTCAAGTCCTGGCGCACAACCGCCCTCCTTTCCTGGGCCGCCCTCCTCATGATCAGTGGCTTCGCCGTGCGTCTTGCCGGTGCCTACGACACTTCGTCCCTTGCCTACCTGATCGCCTCGACCGTGCTAATCCTCTCTGGCCCGCCAGTCTACGCTCTGATTAATTACTTCATCCTCTCCCGTCTTTTATATTACATCCCTTATCTCGCTCCCCTGCACCCCGGCCGTGTCGCAACGACCTTCGTTGGGCTCGACGCCGTGTGCGAGATTCTCATCGGACAGGGGGCATGGCGCATGGCTGATTCCAGCTCGTCCGACGCTCAACGGGAGCTGGGTTCGCGACTTGTCAGTGCCTCGCTGTGCCTTCAGGCTGCGCTATTCGGTGCGTTTGGGCTTCTAGGTGTGCAGTTCCAGCGACGCGCAACCGCAGCTGGCGTATTGAAAACACATCTACGTACAGTTCTATACGTCATGTATGTAAGTGCTAGCATCGTTACGATTCGCTGCATCTACCGGCTAGTAGAATACTTCTCTGGCTGGGACTCGGCCGTGTACAAGAATGAAACCTATTTCTGGATCTTTGAGGCAGCAATTATGCTGACCAATACTGCTTTGCTCAATATCTGGAACCCGGGGAAGCGCCTCCCGCCATCTAATTCGGTTTTCCTAGCAAGGGACGGGGTGACAGAGAGGAGAGGTCCGGGATGGGGTGACGATAGGCCCTGGATCGTCACGGTGTTTGATCCATTCGACGTCTGGGGCCTTGTTAGGGGCAGGAATAAAAAGACGCAGTTTTGGGATTTGAGTGACGCGGAGCTTGAAGCGATGCGGTTGGAGAAGAAGAGAAATAAGAGAGGTTGTGGATTGGCTTTGTTGGATCCATTTCACCTTTGGGGCAAGACGGGGTATATTGCGAGGTGGTTTGGTAAGACGCAGACGAGTGGACAGCCTGTAACTCACGAGGTGTCTACGACACGGACAAAGTTTGGTGGTTCGGAAGCGAAATACGAAGTATGAAGGTGACGTGAGCTGTTGCGTTTTATACCAAAGGAAGTCACGACCGCATAATGTATCATAGCAAACACAGAAGGGCAAATTAGATTTTTTTTTAAATTCAATAACAAGACATCACAATATGAACACATCGTGAGACATTGCACAAAATGATATTGATGGGAGCCCCATGTTAGCCCAAGGAATCTATACAATCGACATGCAAGCCTCCATTTTTTTAAATTTTGAGGTCATACACGTAGATATGTATTCCATGCCACATTCTGGCAAAAACCTGAGCAAAGATGACTCCACCCGTTAACTAATAGGAAACAACAGGTGTGCAACGCGTTGTGAGTGTGTACCTCACCTCGTAATTCACGCGACAAAAGAGTACATGGTAATAGCGGCGAAGAATAGAAGTAAAGTTTTGGAGCATGTTATGCTTGTACTGAGGTATGTGAATGTGTCGATATATGTAGTAGAGTGTGGAAACAAGGCAACAAAAAGGAGATGATAGTGTGCAGCTCTGCCGATTGGCGTATATGTCAATAGAAGATAGAAATGTAAAACAGATGGGTGCAGGACAAGGTTAGGAAATAAGAAGGCGAAGATAAAGGATCGCCATGGTGAGAGTTGCCCTTTTGTCGAACTCGAGGGGTATAGATGATCAGAGCACATTAGATCCGTGACAGAGAACACAAAACGCCGTACTCCAACAACAACAAACACCTATGCAGATATTGGGCCAGCAGCCTTTGTTATAATGGCTGCATAGCCGTCAGCGTCAAATGAACTTAGACGCCGACTTCGGGGACATGGCGTTGTCGTTGAGTTCCGTCGGCACGCCTGTAGCTCATAGCAGCCCGGTCCATGGGCTCTTCCATGTCAGGGGAGCCAGGATCGTAGCTGTAGCCCGCGCCAGATGGCTGGGGCCTGCTACCTGCTACCATGCGCTCGTTCAAATGACGAGAGTCGAATGTGCTGGAGAAGGAGCGTTTGTTTGATGTGGCCGACATGGGGGGAAGGCCCTGAGTCTGAGGGTTAAACTTGGGCAGAGCATAGTGCTGGCTGGAGCCGTCAGAGTTGACAGACATTGCGGCAGAAATTGAGGTGGGTGGGGATTGGTATGAAGGAGAGACGGGCTCCAGCTTGTCTGCAACGATAGGCCTCAAAGAGGGCAGAGATTGATGAGAAGGAGCCGAAGATGTGTAGGATTGTGGTGACGAGTGCAGAGGCTGCAGAGGCTGGCTCATCTGCTGCGATCGGCCGTACTGGTCCATAGGGTGATATGGTTGTACTGGGTGGCTTGAAGCAGTGTATTGCTGAGCTGGCGATTGCGTAATAGACGAGCGACGGTAGTCGGATGGGTGCGCATAGTCGGAGGACATTTGCTCTTGTCTTGGAGGTGCAGCGTGGTCGTATTGTGGCTGCGATTGCGACTGTGGCTGCTGCTGGTAGTTGGAGTATCCGTATTGCTGGTTCATTGGCACCGGAGGCTGTGCCTGGTGCTGACTGCTGTAGCTGCTGTGCTGCGAGTGCTGCGAGTACGGTGTCGAATGCTGCGGAGGCTGTGGAGGTTGCATCATCGGGGCCGGCTGCGGGGTTTGGTATTGCTGTGAATACTGAGACTGGTTCGAGCCGTACGATGGCATCTGCGCATAAGCGGGAGTCTGTGGCGGGGGCATATGCTGCTGGTAGCCGTTGCCAGCAGAATAACCATGGCCCATTTCCTCGATGCTCGGGCGACGCGGTGGCGCGAGCGCAGGGTTACTAGCGCTGGACAATGAGCGAGGACGGTCATCGAGAGGGCCATTTGGTGCTTGTCCATAGTTGTCGGGAGTTGCGGTGCCTCGGGCGCGATCGTAGCCTCCTCCTTCCTCGTCGTACTCATCCCACTCCTTGGACGACTTGTTCTCACGGCGCCTCATCCTCACGTCACGACGGATACGGACACGGCAGCCCTGCTCGGCGACCATACGGCTCAGAGCAGTGCTCTCGGACAATCCAGGGAACTTCTTGGCGGAGAAGACGGTAAAGGGAGCCGACTTGACTTCGCAGCGGTGGGTAACAAAGTGGTTTCCATCGTAGATGACGTCCGGGTCCTCGGGATCGAGGTCCTTTACCTCTGCCAGGTTCTCGAAAAGAGCAAAGCTCAGACGGTACTTGCCCTCATGGCGAACAGACAAGTCAGGGAAGATGAAGTAGCCAGCGGGCGTCGGGCGGTCGAGGTAGGCCATACCAGCAACTGGGGTACCTGTCAGGACTGGAAAGCTAGGTCCGGCGGTAGAGGGAGCGCGTCCAGGAGCGATGGTACGGGCATTTTCCAGGCTGGCGTGGAGGAAGAAGTTTGCATTGTATGCAAAGGTGATTTCCTGGTCATTCTCAAAGACGCGCAGCTCAACAATCGGAGGCGGGTCGACGGGACGTCTGTCGGCGCTCGACTTTGCGCCGCTACCGCAGGCACGGGCGCGCTCAGGCTGCTGGATTACCTGCAGATTGTAGCGAATTTGCCTGCCATCCTTTGTGGTGCGGACAGACTGGCTCTTTGTCTCGTTGCTAACAATAATGTTGGACATGTTGGGTGGTGGTGGAGTCTGCAACGAGTCAGCACAGGGCGTGGTGGTGCGTGGGCGTGAGAGTGGGAAGTTGTGGCGAGGCAGTTGCAGGGACTGGCAGGGCTCGACCCGCAGCAAAGGTACACTTACGGCGGTGACCACAGAATTGGGGCTCTGGGTCGACTAGAACAACGACGATAGTGTTGTCAACCACGGGCGCGAGCGACCTGGACGTGTCAGTTGATGGGGTCTGGCAGTGCCGTGTGGGAACGTTGATGGGTTCGGTAGGGCAATAAGCATGGCGCTGGCTGACCCGAGCCCAAGTTACCGGGCGAACTTAAAGAGGCGCAAAAATGGGCAGGTGGAGCGTGGGAGCGCGAGGGAGAGAGGGAGGAGATACATACCAGCTTGGAAGAGGATCCGCCAAAGGGACAGAATGGGGGCGGACAGTGAATTGGTCGTGGTGGTGGTGGTGGTGAAGAAGAAACGCGACGTGGATGGGGGCTGAGGAGACGGGGACAGAGCCAGGTGGAGTAGGGTAGCAGCAAGCAGAGGGATGAGTGACGGGGGATGGGGGCTGGTCGCCGAGGACCGAGGGGCCAGAAGCAGGCGACGCGACAGCGACGGCGAGGCGTGATGGCTTTGATGGTTTTGGTGGGCGGGGGGAGATGAGCGAGAGTAGGGATTGCGCGGGCAGCAACTGGTACGTGTGCCTGCGGAGGAGAGAGTCGTCAGCAGCAGCAGCAGCAAAGACAAGGCATGAATACGCCGAAGAGGGTCTGGGGGCAGAGGCAGGACGGCGATGGGAATATGGGCTTGGGAGAAGGGCAGCAACAGCAGCAGCAGCAGCAACAGGTAAGAGCACGCGGCTAGGCCTAGTGGATTATCAGAAGAGACGGCTGGCTGGCCCGGCGGACAGGCTCATCTGCACTGACAGATTTAGCCGAAGTGGAGCGAACAAAGAGAGGATAGTTTGGTGCCGCCATTGGTTTGAGGTTGCTCGCGCACAAACGGGGGAGCATGCAGCCGACGCCTCCGCGGGGCCATGGCAGCGAGGCGTCGTAACTATGCATCTCGACACGAAGCGACGACGGCGACGATGTGGTCCTGCAATTCCCATGTCTGGGGATATATATATATATATATATATATGGATATGTGTATTCTTACATAGACATGTACATATGTAATGTGCAGTCAGTCAGTCCATACATATTCATCATAACAACTCGGGAGCAAGCACCAAGCGGCAGGCAAGACAGATTGGCACCCGTCTCCTCAGGCTTGAACTAGGCCCACCGATGACACGGTTCCATGCAACCCTGGGGTTCGGCACTGTCGAACCAGCTACTTACTTGCACCGAGGCCCGGCAGCTTTGGCACGCCTGCCCGGGTCATGCATGGGCAGCAGAAGCAGCAGCGGTGGGCGAGGCTGTCGCTTGTTGTCGTAGCATCTGGTGGTGTTGATGTTTCCGTCTCTGAGTGCACCAGCATATTCTGCGCGCCTCAATCGGCTGCCGTACTCTCAAGCCACCAGCCCATAAGTAGAGTAGCCAGTCCAGGGCTTAGGAGGGGGCGGGGGGCCATGTTCTCTGGTTGGCGTATCTATGGGGCCATGCTGCCCAAGCTCGCTCTGTGCCGTGCTACCCCAGCTGGCTAGTGGCGCACAAAAGAGGACGAATGGCCTGATGGTCACCATGGCACACACGCGCACACACATACATACACACACACACACACACGACGCACACCAAGACGCGCCATTTCCAGCTCATGTCGTCTCGTCTCGTTGTTGTTGTGGTCGCCGTTGTTGGGCGGGTGTGTGTATAGGGCTGTGGTGGTGGTGCGTGTTGCTTCTGCCGGGCCCGTCAGCGTTGGCACGAACGGTTCTCCAGGCGGTGCTTTTGGCTGCGACTTGGGACCGCTGCTGACAGCTCGAGCGGTGGTGGAAACCAATGGCCACTGAGGCGGATTTCCCAGCACCGAGCAGAGGGCGACAGACGGCCCACTCACACAGGATCACCATGCCCGACCAGCCCCAATAACCTTGGATCCTGCTCTGCCCTGCTGTGCTGCATGCACCAGCCCTCATCTTGCTACCCGCGGCTCCGCCCGCCTTGATTCGCCCCAAGCCCTGATCCTTCCAACGGCCGACCAGCCTGGGGGCGATCCCACCCGCGCTCCACCTTGCCCGCTGCTGCCCACACTGCCTCCCTTCTGCATCCATCCATCCATCCATCCATCCATCATCCATCATCCACTCATTCACTCATCCATCCATTCACACGGCATCCATCCACTACGACTCTGTCTCTCCCCCCTCTCCACACCAATACTTGGCTTCTTCCCCCCCCCCCGCCCCGCCCGTCGCTTGTTCCTCCTTCGCACTGCCATCGCCAGCCACACGACCCTGTGGCGTGGTACTGTCTGTGGCTTGCCACCCGGACCAGCTGCTTTAGCCCAAATGTCATTGCCAAGCACACGCCCGCGGTTTCAAGCTTCATTGATTCGACCCACGCCCATGTCACCCCCTTCGCTACTACATCTGTCTGCGAGCATTCCCGACGCTCTTCTCCGTATTGCTCCATCTACTTTACACATCTAGGTGCTCACAAGCCTACTAGCTCTTGGCCCGGCTCTACTTACACCACGGCTGCACAAAGTCCCGGTCCCGAGATTGCTTGGCCATGACGCCAAGTACACATCTTTCGCTTGCCTGCATCCTTTCCTCTACAACAACCTTTCCCCATACTAACTCTTACTATTTTACGTCCAACACACCTCCGCGGCACACCTACTCTCCGTGTCCCTGTATTCACTGCAGACTAGCCCCTCGGCATCCGTAAGCACTTTTGCTTCCAAATTGTCAACACACTTTTGTTCCACCAAACAACACATCTCGACAGTCCCTTACAACAGCCCAACATGCAGTAAATCATTCCTCATTCATACAATCATGACCGCATGCATCGTCTCTGAAACACAGTCATCGTCATTGCATACTTACCCCGTTTCTTTTCGCGCTAACAATACGTCTTACTCGGCATCTGTTGGTCCTTGGATTCGTACAGACACATGTAAGAACTGATCTGGAAACAAACCACTCCCTCATGTAAGCGCCGAAAGAGGCCCGACAGCCCCAAACTCTATCACGATCCCGATCGTCACGATTCAAATAGATGGTCCACTCAGCCGGACTCGATGAAGAGAAAGGATATACATATAGGCATGGCACAAGAGCGGCACTTGACCAAGTTTCAGTCTGCCACTCAGTGCCCAACTATACCCTAGCTACAGACATATTGATACCATGATTTCACATCTGCCTGACAAAAGTCAGCAAAGAGGCGTTTTCCTGCCACCTCATGACTGCAGACTTGCTACTGCAGCACAGCATCCTTGCGACACTACTTGATGACAGTTGAAATGGCTCATCTCTGCTATCCTGTCCAGATACTACATCATGCACGGTTACACAGACCCCAAAATATGCATACTGCATTCACATGGACAAAAGTTTACATGCTTCTTTACCACTCGTGACATTCTAGCTTCACATTTATTCCCCCTTATATCCTACACAACACTAAACAAGAACACCCATCTTTCGTCGTCCGTCTTACTCCCTTATGCAGTAACCACGATTATGTCATGCATGCCCCTTTCCAACACCCTGCGTATTTATTACTTAGTAATAATGCTTGGCTGTTTTATATCCTTATCAATGGTACCGTTCACATGGAACAAAAATATATCTTTCCTCACTACTCAATTATTTTGTACCCAATATCACATGACTGCAATTCGGCAGAAACCTGAGTATCTATCAAGCTCAATAATATTCCAACATACACTACACATACAATTGGCCCTACAGCTCGTGCACGTGGCTTGTGTGCACTTTGTATCATGGCCTGCGCATCTGCAAGTACACAGCTACCTACCTAGCTACTGCTACCCCTCCTCCATCTCCAACACTACCCCGCGCCGACCACCACTCCCAAAATTGCGTGATTGCAAGACCATCCCTAACGCGTAACTTTTTCAGACCCTACCACTTGCTATTACAGATAGCATTTACACATTTAGACGGCACAAATGGGGCTGGTCAGCACTTGCATGGCCTAGTGCCATCCGGCATCACCCCAAAAGGAATATGTGGGGGCTATATCAGTACAGACGCATCTCAAACGGTTCTTTTAGTGTGGAGCACCTAGATACTGTAGTGGAAGGCCTCCAACGCGAGCGTGGGCGCGGATGACGTGACTGTGCGGGATAATGGTGCACAATCTCTACCATTTGATTGCCCCCCCCCTTGCCCCCCCTTTCCTCTACGTACCTTTTCTCCAATCCATTAACTTTGCGTATAGCTAAAATACCAATTGACAAAGGGTTAGTTGGATAGATCTTCCAAACATTTCTCACAATAGTAATCTCCAGACCAGCAACATGGCAGAAGAACTCTCCAAGAACTTTGAGACGCTGCAACTGCATGCCGGTAAGCATTTTTGATAGAGCAAGAGACAATGCAAATGCTCATGCTAACGCGACTGCTTCCAGGCCATACACCAGATAAGGAGACCAACTCTCGTGCTGTGCCCATCTATGCCTCCACTGTATGCTCCCCTAAATATGCATTCCTCCCATATGTGCCAGGAGAAAAGCTTACCACTGTAGTCCTTCACATTCAACGACAGCGCTCACGGTGCCCGACTCTTCGGCCTCAAAGAGTTTGGCAACATCTATAGCCGAATTGGAAACCCAACCGTTGGTGTCTTTGAGCAGAGGGTCGCCGCGCTCGAAGGTGGTGTCGCTGCGCTTGCAACTTCATCTGGACAGGCCGCGCAGTTTATCGCTATTTCTGCTCTAGCACATGCTGGTGACAACATTATCGCAACTTCAAATCTATACGGAGGCACATACAACCAGCTCAAGGTCTTTTTCCCACGTTTGGGCATAAAAACAAAGTTCATCAACGGAGACAAGCCCGAGGACTTCAAGGCTGCCATTGATGACAAGACAAAGGCCATCTACGTGAGTTTCCCATTTCAGTGCGACACCCTTTTCAAAGATTAATAAACTGACCGCGCCTTGTAAAGCTCGAGAGCATCGGAAACCCAAAGTACAACATTCCCGATTTCGAAAAGATTGTCGCGATTGCGCATGAGGCTGGTGTTCCGGTAGTGGTCGATAACACCTTTGGCGCAGGTGGATACTTTGTCAGGCCCATTGATCACGGCGCTGACATTGTTGTACACTCTGCTACAAAGTGGATTGGAGGTATGTCCTCCAGCTTGTTTTCTTGAACAGAACGGTGGACTGACAGATACAGGGCATGGAACCACCATTGGCGGTGTCATTGTCGATAGCGGAAAGTTTGATTGGGGCAAGCACAGCAAGCGCTTTCCGCAAATGATCGAGCCATCAGAAGGCTACCATGGGCTCAAATTCTGGGAAACATTTGGCCCAATAACATTTATCATCAGAGCTCGTGTTGAAATCCAGAGAGATTTAGGTGCCGCACTGAACCCATTTGCTGCGCAACAGCTTCTCCTTGGTATCGAGACGCTTTCCCTTAGAGCTGAGCGACATGCATATAACGCGCTCAAGCTAGCCAAATGGCTGGAGAGCAACGAGAATGTGAGCTGGGTCTCATACCCAGGCCTCGAGAGCCACCCATCTCACCAGCTAGCCAAGAAGTACCTGCCGCGTGGTTACGGAGGTGTCCTGTCGTTTGGTGTGACAGGAGGTGGCAAAGCAGGATCCCAGGTCGTGGACAACTTCAAGCTCATTTCCAACTTGGCAAACGTTGGCGATTCAAAGACATTGGCTATCCATCCTTGGACCACAACACACGAGCAATTGAGCGACGAGGAAAAGCTGAGTTCCGGTGTTACCGAGGTACGTACTATCGGCTTTGTATCATGTCCGAGTGCGTGGAGTTGCTAATTTGTATTACAGGATCTTATCCGAATTTCGGTTGGCACCGAACACATTGACGACATCATTGCGGATTTCGAGCAGTCATTCAAGAAATCGGCGACAAAGCCCGAGGAAGAGGGCAATCCAGAGAACGCGGGCAAGACTGGTGAAGGCGAAACTCCTGCGTCGTTGTCTGGTGCGACGTAGAGTAGTCAGGACAGCTTAGGATCAGGCATCCAGAAACACCGATTATCAAGGCATAGCAGATATATAAGCAGTAAGACGAATTAATACTTAACAAAGAAAAGGTTGCGAGCCCTTGCCCTGTACGATATATCTCGGTGCTACAATAATATCGCCGTGCGACGTTAAATTGTCCCTCCGTAACCAAAGGTGGCCATAGTTGCGTGTCGCAGCATATTCGAGTGATGTGACTACATATGCCTCGGTATGTTTCCCCTTTGGTTAGCGCGTGCCCTCGCACCAAAGCCGGCCAATCGCTGCTCGACCCCCCGTTTACGGGGGAGCGGCCATGCGCGTGGTTAAAATCACTCCAGACTTTTTTCTGGGCTTCGGCATGTGAAAAGAAGGGAAATCCGGTCGCAAGCAACCACATGACCGCATCGCTTACCCCGTTAACACATGCGCATTTACACACAATGCGAAGCACATCCAGCGACATGTCCAACCTTTTTCCCAACGAAGCATATGCAAAAAAGTTATTTAGTCTGGGGAAAATTAAAAAAACAAACAAACGGGGTACATCGGCGCATGAATGCTCCCCCATCCTCCAATGTGGAGATTGCGCGACAGAGGAAGAAGCCTAGGTTGACTTGCTTGCCCACTTTCTGAGCGGCGCCCGCCCGCCCTCCGGCCGGGGATGGTGCACCACGCGCGCGTCATTTGTAGGTGGGAACCCTCTATGCCCCCCAGTCGAGCGAATCCGCCCCTCCAACATGCCTCGGCACATGGTCCTTTCGTAACAGGCAATATGTGGGTATTTTCGGTTCTGGGGGCGGGCCTCTTGTCTTCAATAGGTGTAGGCTTGGCCGGAGTTGATCTGGTTGTCTCTCGTCCGCCCTTCTTGTCGCTCTGTCTGCTTCCTTTTGCTCTCTCTCTCTCTCTCTCTCTCTCTCTCTCTCTCTCTCTGTGTGTGTGTATGTGTTTAGACGTATAGAGGAATCGTTGTAGTTTTCGTTTGTGGACATCGTTTGGTAAGTTCAGTCGGACGAGACTCAGCCTTGTTGTTGCTACGCTCCCTCTCGCATCGTCATCTGCGGACAAAGGAACAAGCCGCGGGCGCGCGCTAGGACACCAGGGTAATGTTGTCATTTGCACATGGGAAGCTCGGGGACACTTGACTAATGTTTGTCATATAGTAGTAGAGTTGTTCGTTACGCTTCTTCTCGGCGTCCCGTTTCCTTTGCTGCAACTACTTGCACTGCCTCGATCACCCCGACTTTACATATTTGTCTCTACTTTTGAAACCCTTTTGGACCTCTGGACCATTTGCGCGCACGTAGCATCACCGCAACGACAACATGTTTTCAGGCACAGACGCTCAGATAGAGCGTGCGATCGAGCTTCATACTCCGCCGCCAAAGGGAAAGCCTTATAGCGTTGCGCTGCCTGGTACAGAGATAGAAGGAAGAAGCGCCATCTATAGGCATTGGAGGTTTGCCAACAAGCCTGTATTGGAGAAACTGGTTCCCGAGGTACTTTTGTTTTGCTTTTTTATCATACAAAAATGGGCGACATTGGTCGGAAGAATTAGCTGACACCAAGTTAAAACAGATTAGCACACCATTCGAGGCCTTTGAGAACGCGGTTGCGAAATGGCCTAAGAACAGGTGTCTCGGTCACCGCCCCTACGACGCTGCGACCAAGACATTCGGCCCGTACATCTGGGAAGACTATGAGACGATTGCGAAGCGGAGGAAGGCCTTTGGCGCTGGTTTGGTGCACTTGCACAGACAGGCTGGTGTGACTGCGTCAAATTACGGTGTGGGCTTGTGGTGTCAGAACAGGCCTGAGTGGCAGATTACCGATTTGGCTTGCATGTCGCAAGGCCTCTTTACCGTTTCCATCTACGACACGCTTGGCCCGGACACGACTGAATACATCATCAACCATGCGGAGCTGACCTGCGTGGTTGCAGGAATGAACCATGTTACAGCGCTCTTGAAGCTGAAGCCACGACTCCCGACTTTGAAACTCATCGTCGTTCTCGACCCGTTGTCGGCTGGCGAGCTTCCTGGAGAGTCAAAGGGAGACCTGTTGAACTCGCTCGCAAACGAGCAGGGTGTGACTATCCACTACATCCGAGATGTGGAGGCTCTGGGCGAAAAGCAGCCTCTTCCAATGAACCCACCTTCACCGGACGACATTGCCACCATCAACTACACTTCTGGAACCACCGGTAATCCCAAGGGTGTTGTATTGACCCACCGCAACGCGCACGCCGCAACATGCTCGAGCCTGATCCTCACTGGCGGCAAGGCAGGTGAGGTCATTTGTTCTTTCTTGCCTCTTGCGCACATCTACCAGCGCCTGACGGAGCATTCGGCGCTGGCAGGCGGCTCGGCAATTGGTTATTTCCACGGCAACGTTGTCGAGCTCGTAGATGATCTCAAGATGCTGCGCCCAACCATCTTCTCTGGAGTACCCAGGCTCTACAATAGGTTTGGAGGAAAGATCAAGGAAGCTACGGTTCAGGCATCTGGTGTCAAGGGAACATTGTCACGGCACGTCGTGTCCACCAAGCTTGCGGCTATTCATGACAAGCAGAACCCGACCAACAAGCATATGCTCTACGACCGCGTTTGGGCGAGCAAGGTGGCTGCGGGTCTCGGTCTGGACCGAACCAAGGTCTTGATCAGTGGCTCTGCGCCCATTGACCCCAGTCTACACCAGTTCCTGCGCATTGTTTTTGCAAGCAACTTTACGCAGGGATACGGCTTGACCGAGACGTACGCCATGGCGCTGTTCCAGCATGAGAACGATTTTTCGTCGGGCAACTGTGGCGGTGTTGCGCCCACGACCGAGTGTGCCCTGGTAGACGTGCCCGACATGGAATACTTTGCTTCCGACAAGCCATTCCCTCGCGGTGAACTCGTGGTCCGTTCGTCGACGCGGTTCAGGGAATACTTCCGCAATGACGAAGAGACAGCCAAGGCCGTAGATGCCGACGGCTGGTTCCACACTGGAGACATTTGCACCGTCGACGAACTCGGCCGCTTCAAGATTATTGACCGCAGGAAGAACGTTCTCAAGCTTGCACAGGGCGAGTACATTTCACCTGAGCGTATCGAGAACCTCTACCTCGCAAACTGTACCTACCTGGCCTCGGGCTACGTCCACGGCGACTCGCAACAGTCCTTCCTTGTTGCCATTTTCGGTGTTGCGCCAGATCTGTTCCCACAGTTTGCGTCCAAGGTCCTTGGTGAGACGATTCCTGTGGGCGACATGGCGAAGCTTAGGGAGGTGTGTCAGAACAAGAAGGTCCAGCAGGCTGTGTTGAAAGACCTGGACAGGGTGGGACGCAAGAACAAGTTCAACAGCTGGGAGCGCGTCAGGGCTATAAGGCTGTTTGTGGATCCTTTTACGATTGAGAACCAGCTCTTGACACCAACGTAAGTCGTCTCTAGTCACATGGGATGGGATGATATATGCTAACAAAATGTAGATTGAAACTGAAGCGCCCGCAAACGGTCAAGGCATTCAGACAGCACCTGGATGACTGCTACGAGGAGGCACTGGCTGAGGAGTCTGCACCTAAGGCGAAGTTGTAGAGGATTGTCTTTTTCTGTATGCTTACTACATGTTTTGTGTGTCAGAGCGCGGACATTGGGCGTCCCCCTGCAGCATGTGTACCATGGAACTATATGTAGATCGTCGTAATGCACCACGTCTTTAGTGAGATCGGGTGGCATCTGTTTGACTAGCACATTCATCTGTACTCGAGTTCATGCCGTGACGAAGAAAATTATAGTTTGATGAACGCATGAACGCCGACGGCCGAGCTGGGAAGGCGGTGAAGGGCTGGCGACAACGTGTCACGAGCAGAAGTGGAGTGTAGCGCAGTGGCACGAGCAATCACGGGGCGCCAAGTCATGTAATGACGCAGGGTCCTCTTTCTCGGGCCCAAGGTCGCTTCTGGCTACGGCCGTGGTGCGATCCTTTGGTTCACGCAAACAACAACAACACTCGCCCGCCCCGTGGCCTCCTCCGCCCTCAATCCCAGTCCTTGCTTTCGCTGCACCGTCTGCACGAGGTGCTCCCTCTGGCTGCAATCACTTCTCTGGACCCTCAATTAGCGAGCAGCGCCCATGCCAACCACACGCGCAACTACACTGGCCATGAGTGAGGACATGGAGGAAGCTGCTCGCCCGCGCCCATCGCGCTTCAAGGAGCATACAAACACAAACAGCACCATTCGCCCGCCGCCCGAGGAGCTGTGGAAAGACATTCAGATTGACGATCTGATTGATCAGTACAACGAGGAGAATGCGCAACCGCCCGTGTCGAGAAAAACTTCTGCGAACCATGCGGCGCGCACAGCCAGACCTGCGCCCGCAAGGACGAACTCGGGCTCCTCGAACTCGGATCGCTCTCGTGAGTCGTCGGCCCCAGCGCAGGCCAATTCGGCCTCTGGATCGGGCGAGGGTACGTATGCGCGCATACAGCGCGCTTTTGCGTCCATGTTCGGCAGCGTGCTGGGCAAGCGCAAGGCCGGTAGCATGGACGCTGAGCGGGATAGGGAGCAGCAGCTTCATCAGCAGCTGCTTGACGAGCGCAAGAAGGCTGCTGAGATTGCCTACTATGAAGCCAAGGATCGTGGCCTGCTTCCAACGCCAAAGGTCTTCGTTCGACCGGCCATGGCTGCCAGAGCCAATCTTCAAAACGCCGAGAAGATGCAGGTCGGCTTGACGACAGAATTGGTCGAGGCCGCAACTCCAATGCGCATACCAGGCACGCCACGGACGCCAGGTCTACACCACACGCCCAGCAAGAAGGACCTGCAGAAGCAAAAGAAGCTCAGCAAGCGCGTCTCGGACCTCGAATTCAAGCTCGCCTCCGCCCGCAAAGAGCTCCACACTGTCCTCTACAACGACCTACCTCCCGCTCCTCCCGTCCCCAAATTCGCACCACCCACCCCAGACGTCACCCAAAGCGAACACGAGCCCGCCTCCCCCGAAGCCCGTACCTCGACCTCGTCTAACAACGCCTCCACCGCCGCAAGAAGCATGGGCCGCATCCTCAAAAAGCGCAAAACAACCGCGGCTCACGACTCGGACACTGACTACAAACCCCTCCCCACCGACTCCGAAGGCGACACAGACATGTTCTCCGTCCCTTCTGCCTCTGAACACGAAGCCGATCCCGACAACAACGACGATAACGACGAAGAAGACGAGCTGTCGACCAAGCACGCTAAGTCTACGTCTCGGAAGAAGAGCAAGAATTCTAAGCGCCAAAGTTCTCGTCTCCGCAAGAAGTTCTCGAGAAGCAGTATCAAGCGCGATGAGCCTGTCTGCGTTGTCCCCGATGGTGTCAATGTTCCTGAGGTTCCTAGTTTGCCGCAAGATGTGGCGGATGAGGTTAAGAGTCGGGCGAGGAAGGGGAGGGATGATGGGTATGGGGGGTTGGGTCATGAGATTTTTTGAGGGCTGGGTAGGTGGGCGAGTAAGTGGGTGGAAAAAGTGTGAGTGAGTGAGTGTGGTGGGTGAAGAAAACTTTCGATTCTTGTGCATAGTTTTTTTGTGGTCGTTGATACCTTCCTTTCGGCCTTTTTCTCTGATCTTCTCGAATGGATGGTTGAGATGGGAGGAAAAGGTGCAGAATTAGATTGGTCCGACTCTTTTTTTTTCTCTGGGGAAGGTTGGAGAGTTATTTTTCTTTTCTCGTCTTTCCTTTTTGTCATCACTTGCAAATCTTCGTCTTCTTGTGTTTTTTTTGCGGTTTTTCTCTTCCTTGGGAATGGACTACAAAAATCTCTCTTTTCCTTGTTTACGAATTGCAACGATGGTTATGACTTTGTTTTGGGAACGTATGGATTGGTATATCCATCTTTTTTTTTTGCTTTCTTGTTCAATTTGGGGGGGTGGTTAGGAAGGTAGATATGAATGTCAAGATGTCTACTTATTTGGTGTGGTATGTGGAGTTGTATTGCAGATGGAATAAAAGGTGAATACTAACACTCACTTTTTTTCCCAAGCCTTCAACTTCTGGATATTGATACCCACGCTGTTTTGATATGTTCTGTCTCAATCTGTTGAATTGAGACGAAAAGGCGTAGTTGTTCCCGTTATCAATACCGTCTACCCACTTGATTTCTCGCTAAGATGCAGATTAGTCCAAAAGACTTGTTAGTGAGATGTCTACGGGCTTGCTCGTCTTTTTTTTTGGTTATAAAGCGAGGGTGTTCCATGAAAAGTAAATAAGATTAACATGATTAGTTAAGGGTAGTTGCAAGAAACAAGTCGTCATCGTCGTTTTTCAACAATTCACATATGTTCGGGTTAAGAGAGTAGAATGCTCAACTAGATCTCCGACGTTTGCAGTGAAGCAGCTTTTCCCGGAAGCTATTTTCCATAGTCACCATGCAATTTACGATACTCTAGTCAATATCTACCATTAGCAATAGATCTAGTTGCTAAGATTGCTGCGCGAGTATATGTCGCCGATACCACAATCTTATGCCTACTATACTTACATAGAATTAATCTCTAAGCTATTCCTTTTCCCCCGTTGCCTAGAGAACACACATTGATATATATTACGTGCAAAAGGGTCAGTTTACTTAAGAATTCCGACGGGTCTACCTATGCAACACAATCAGTACATCCTGTCCTGCTACGACAAAGAATATGCACTATAGAACCGCGTATCCGGTTATTGTTTACATAATATACCAAAAGTGGCGATGCTATACTGAAAGCGTGGAGATAGTGCCAACGAAGGGGTATAGCGTCAGGTACACATCTCCCTAACTACCCGCTGCTGACCGCTAGCTCCCGGACGTAGTAAGGGAGGCCCTAGTGTTCATCGCATAGCCTTGTGCTAGCTAAACATGGTGAATCCTGATATTTGGTGTAGATCTACGAGTGTTGGTAGGAGAGTTTCTTAGGAACAATCAAATCGCATTTCTTGGTGTATCATCGGGTAGGGCTAAAGGCTTCATCATGACCAGATGGCAACAGACCCATGGCTCGCAAGCGAAGAGCGTCATGTGAGAACTAGAGAATTGACAGTACCAGATAGAACAGGCTGTGATGATTACTTTCAGGCTCGACAGATTGGACTGCATGGGGGATGCGACCGATAGAGTTTCTAGCATTGGACAGCAATGACGTGATACTATATAAACGTTCAAGTCGAGCTACAAAAACGCCACAGCAGCATGCCGAGAGTGCCAGGGTGGTCAATGAAACAACGACATTACTGGCGCAAATGCCGTTATCCTCCTTGAAACATTACGGCAAATAACCCATGCTAGAGATTACCCCCGGACATCTGCCACCGGCCGTAAACCGCACCTCTTTCCCCACACCCCACAAGCCCTACCCGTTGACCTTTGGAAACTTTCCACCAACTATGAATATACCCAATAAAGCCACAAGGCGATATTTACATATATATTGACCAGCTTTAGCCGCACGGACGGGCGGAAACACGATTAACGAACATGCGGAGTCGGAGATTGATTGACAAATGGACTGGGGAGGGGGATGGTAAGTAAAGTTAGCGCCTGGGCCTTCCTCAATCAAATTAACGGAGAAATTCCAGGGCGGAGCAACGCGTCACTTTGATGGAAACATAGCCGCAAAGCCCATGTGAAACCACAGAAAAGAATCTGGGGTAAAGTTGTCACGGCTGGGCGGAATTATGGGAAAAAAAGGTTTATATATAAAGGGGTGGGGGGATGGGCATCTCGTATTTCCCACCTTTCTCTCTTCGCTCTTTTAGGTCCAGTTCTCTGAAAGTGAAAGAGATACGACGTAAATCATGTTGTTGAAGATAATGAAGCAGTTGGCACTGCCACTTGCCATCCTATCTCTCTGTACACCTCCCCCCCTCATCCCGCAAAACCAGTGTATCCCACTAACCCACACTTCCCCCAAACAGTCCTCTCCTTCGCCAGCGCCCTCCCCACCGATGCATCCCTCGAAACCCGGCAAACAAAATCTCTCCGCATCCTGCCCCTCGGCGACTCCATAACCTGGGGCTTTATCAACGGCGGCGGCTCCAACGGCTACCGCGAGCGCCTGCTCTCCGACCTACAATCCGGCGGCTACACCGTCGACTTTGTCGGCACCCAAAAATCCGGCACCATGGCCGACAAAGACAACCAAGGCTTCCCGGGCTACACCATCAACCAGATCCGCGGCGTCGCCGGCGGCGGCCTCAACCTGCGCCCCAACGTCGTGCTCATCCACGCCGGAACCAACGATCTCAACCGCGGCAACCCGTCGTCGGAGCCTGATGCGGATGCGCCACGCAGACTGGGCCTGCTGATTGACGATGTACTCAAGGTTGTGCCGAATGCGGTTGTCATTGTAGCCAAGATTATTCCGTCAAAGAGGGCTAGTCTGACGAATACTATTCGCACGTTTAATAATGCGTTGCCTGCGATTGTGTCGGCGCGCGCGAGCAAGGGCTCAAAGGTTTCGCTTGTGGATATGAGTGTTTTGAATCCTAGCACCGAGTTGAGTGATGATTTGCACCCGTAAGTTGATATTCTTGCTATTTGTAAGCAAGGATTGATGGGCTAACTGATGATAGGAATGTTGCTGGATACAACCGCATGGGAGATATCTGGTATGCGGGAATCAGGGCTGTCGCTGGATCTATCCCTGCTTAGGCTGATGTGGGTCCTTTGGACTTTTTGTATATAGATTGATTGATGATGAGGCTTGAAGGCTTGGTACATGGTATGATATAGGTGGATCGACGAAGAATGATCAATTCAATTTGATGTCCTGAAATCAATTGTGTCGTTGTTATACACGAGTGAAGTATCCTGTTAGACGACATACCGAGACATGTCCTATTTTACACTATCTTTTGATCTAATGGTTTATCCCCTGTCTATATTTGCAACTATCGAGGAACTAGGAAATATGTATTGTTTCTACTTGGCAATCTCAACGCCACTGGTAGCACCTACACATAATGTCAGTCTCGTACAACAGAAGAAAAAATCACAGTAATAACAAAGACTTACCCAACGCTCTCTTGATACTTCCATACAAAGCAAACTGACCCGCAGTAAGACCACCCACCATGAAAAGACGAGTAGGAAGGCCCGTGAATGAACCCCGGATGCCCAGCTCTCCAGCAATCTTGATCAAACGCGAGACGGTGCTCTCACCAGGAAGACCTCGTGTCTTGTTAATCTTGGACAGCATGGTATCAGCAGGCTGTGACACAATAGCAGCAGCGAAACCGGAAAGAAGACCAGAACCCAGATTGACAGTGGTCTGAGCACCATTTGACATAGTCGACTTGTCAAAAAGAGCGAAAATGGCTTCGGAAATCTTTTCGAAAGCAACGAATTTGGTGATTGTGTACGGGACCCTGTGATAGACATCAACTTCCCGCTCTGCTCCGCAGCAGTCTATTAGGGGGACAAGACATGCCAGGATAACTTACTGCTTGAAAAGAATAGGACCAAAACCCGAGTAAAAAGCCCCGACACCCTCTGTCCTCAGAATCTTCCCAAACCCACCAATCAATCCATTAGCAAACCCCGGCGTCGACACCAAGCGAATCCGCGTCGCCTCAAGCGGACACAGCGCAATCGAAGCAAAGAACTCGGCACAACCCGCAGAAACCGAGTACACAGCCGCGCGATGCTGGCGCGCCTTTTCCAGACCAAGCAGATTAATCGATTGTTTCTTGAAGAACTCGTAGCCGCCGAATTTGAAGGCGCCTTGCATGAAGTAGCCGGCGAAGGTGGGACCGAAGCCTGTTGCGAGAGCGCGTACGCCTTCGTTTTGGATGACCTGGCGGAACCCGCCGATCATGCCGCGGTTGTAGGTCGCGGGGTCGAGTTGGATCCGAGTCTTGACGCTGCGGAAAATATTGGTTTGGGTGAAGGGGGAAAGCTGGAGGAGATGAAGGAGAGACCTACACATCGACTGGTGTGAAAGCGCCGTGGGTAACTGAGCACCCCAGTGCACCGGCGACCGCAAAGCGAGCGTAGAGATCGATGCCCTCCGGGGCTTTCTGCTGGATGAGCGGAACCATGGTGGTTGGTGGTGGGTGTTGTAGTTGCGGTAAGCAAAAATTCGAGTCAAAGAAAGAAAAGGGGAGTAGGTCAGCTGGCGGGATTACAAGTTTTATGTCACTGCGCGTACATCACAGGGACAGCACGAATTAAAGTCGGAAGAAGAGGGAGAAAGAAGGAATGAGCGATTGCAAGGCCCCCAGCGCGCGCTATGTCGCACTTTGAGCCTGGACGACATGAGGGTAATGTGCGAGAGCTGCTTGGTGGGATCTACAGGCACCTGATTGCGTGTTTCGGGGTGGGATGTTCCGAGTACTTTGTTCCTGCAGCAGTTGCATATGGTCGAGAGAAGTATAGGCAGGGCGTTGTGAACTCCTGATGAGGTTGTTGCGTCGGACAGTTGGCTTAAGTCCACGCGTTAAGTCCGAAGCCAGCGATAGGAAGATGTCGGTCAGGTACCAGTAGCGCGAATTTACCGCTTCTATGGATGCTATCGTCGCCCGGTGCGTAGAATCGCCGACTACTAGATCAGGATGAGGCGCATCTCTGGTGGCCTTGCAATACGAGTCTAGAAAACAGATTAGGGCAGGAAGCAAAGCGAGTAGTGGGCGACCAGGGATAATGCAAATTTCTTTGTCAAAACCAGGTTGACATGCAAGTGCCATGATTGAATGTATGAATTCTTTGTTAAGCTGATATGTTGCTACCAGTGGATCCGTAGATCATCTTTTACCCTAACGCCGTCGCTTAAGAATTTAATGCAAAACGTTCACTTTCCGTGGCGCATGTCGCGTCTTGTCCTTGTTCCTAGCCCCTGCTTTCTTAGTTGTTACCCTTAATCCTTGGGAAGCATATCCTGCTCGCTGCCATCTCTTGGTACGTAGTTGATGCCGGCGCTCTCGATCAAGCCGATAATGTCATCGGGGAGGATGCCTTCGACCTGGGTCGCATACACACCCGGCTGGTAGCCCTCGAGGCGCTGGTACCTGGCCACCCAGCTCTTGGTGGTGTCTGCGACGGTGATGAGTCCTTCAAAGACTTGCGAGGTACAGTCGTTGATTTGCTCCGGGTTGCCGGTGAGCTCGAGAAACTCCTCGCAGTTGGGGCAGCCCTGGGACAGGAACTGCTGCTGGGTGCGGACAATGGAGCAGACCATGCAGGCGCGCATGTTGCGCTGCTGGTTTGGGGGGATGTACGCGCCGCCAGCCATGTTTTCGTTGGTGTCGGAGTCTCTGTCGTCGGGTGTGTGATTTGTGGACGCGCTGCTTGGGCCTCGACGTTGACGTTGACCGCGGCGTGTATTCGGTGAAGATGGCTCTGGTGGATATGGCTGATTCTGAAGATGGTAGGAATGGCTTGTGGCTGGTCGAGGAGGACGAGTGCCCCGGAGAGGAGATATAGGCTGGTCGAAGGTGTTGTAAGTGTAAGAAAACGGTGTGCTACTACTGCTAGTACTTTGTTCCACGGTCCCAGAAGCTTGGCGAGGCTGGCGGCGCTCTGGCTCTGGCGCTGGCTCTGGCTCTGGCCCTGACTCGTTTCTAGAGGGGTTTAGTGGCTCGCGTGAGGTTGCAGCATGGGCATGGGCATTGGAATTCTCCTCGTCTAGATACTGTTCTGGTCTGTTATTTTGATAGGTATATCTGCTATCTTCTGGTGAATTACTCGCTGCAGAACTGAACCCTTGATAGTCTCGACCAGGCTTTGAGCGTGTATCGCCTTTGGCCGTCGTCGACTTGACCATTGCAGTGCCCTTACGCGCCATGACGGCTAGTCGGGGCCGGGACCGCTGGCTGGCCTGTGGCGCTGGGGGGGGGGGACAATCTAGTGGCAAGGCGAGGCGAGCGAGCGAGGGCGGGACGGAATTGATTGATGACTTTTGGCGGGCAGTGCGGGCAACGAACCTTCTCGCCTTTTGTGGTGCGTCATTGTTTGTATCTGCCTCTTTTTTGCCTCTACTGCAATCGCCAACAAACTGCACCTGTGCCTTCCCGTTGCGCTTGTCCTGCAGTCGCAAGCCTGAGCATTCCACTGCTACGGCCCGTGCCGCCTTCCATCGACACACCATGGGGAGCCCGCCAGCTGAGGCTGTCCAGCTCAAGGACGAGGGCAACAAGGCCTTCAAGAACCAGGAGTGGGACAAGGCCCTCGAATTCTACACAAAAGCCATAGAGGCATACGACGCAGAGCCCTCCTTCTATACCAATCGCGCACAGGTACGCTGCCTGTTTGCCCCCCCACAAAGCCCAGCTGTATGCTAACTTGCGCTCTAGACATACATCAAGCTCGAACAGTACGGATATGCTATACAAGACGCAGACAAGGCCATTGAACTCGACCCCAACAATGTCAAGGTACCACATCCCCCACCCTTGGTTGCTCATCATGGCGCTCACCACGTTCCCCGCAGGCATACTTTCGTCGCGCCTCGGCCAACACGGCCATCCTCAAGCATCGTGAGGCCCTCCGCGACTGGAAGCTCGTCGTTAAGAAAGCCCCCAACGATGCCAACGCAAAGCTGCGCATGGCCGAGTGCGACAAGATTGTCAAGCGAGACGCCTTCCTCAAGGCTATCGAAGTCGAAGATGCGCCCTCGGCCGCAGAGGGCCTGGACCTCGAACACATGGTCGTTGACCCCTCATACGACGGCGCAAAGCTCGAGGACAAGATGACACTCGAGTTCATAGAGGACATGATTGAAAGATTTAAGAACGGAAAGAAGCTGGCCAAGAAGTACGTCTACCAGATCATCATCGCCGTCATGGACATTATCAAAAAGGAGCCCACCATGGTCGAGCACGACGTTGAGCAAGGCCATGAAATCACAGTCTGTGGTGACACGCACGGTATGTTGCATGAGTCCAATCTTAATCTAATACTTACCAACAACCCCAGGCCAGTTCTTCGATCTCATGGAGATTTTCCGCCTCGCAGGAAAGCCCTCGGAAAAGCATGCATTCCTCTTCAACGGCGACTTTGTCGACCGAGGATCCTGGTCCACTGAAATCGCATTGCTACTGTACGCCTACAAGTGGCTATATCCCAACTCCTTTTTCCTCAACCGAGGCAACCACGAAACAGACGACATGAACAGAATGTACGGCTTCGAGGGAGAGTGCAAGGCCAAGTACACCGAGCGTGTATTCAAACTCTTCTCAGAATCCTTCTCAGCCCTCCCTCTAGCAACTCTTATTGGCAAGAAGTACTTTGTGCTTCACGGCGGTCTTTTCTCCGATGATCAAATTACCCTGGACGACGTACGAAAGCTCAACCGATTTAAGCAGAGGCAACCAGGCCAATCCGGCCTTATGATGGAGATGCTGTGGACTGACCCCCAGACGAGCCCAGGCCGAGGACCCAGTAAACGTGGTGTTGGTCTACAGTTTGGCCCTGATGTCACCAAGCGCTTCTGCGAAAACAACGGTCTCGAGGCCATTATCCGATCGCACGAGGTACGCATGGGCGGCTACGAGGTTGAGCACGACGGACGTTGTATTACCGTCTTCTCGGCCCCCAATTATTGCGACAGCACCCACAACAAGGGCGCCTTTATCAAGATTGGGCCAGACTACAAGCTCAATTTTACCCAGTTCGATGCGGTTGCGCATCCAAACATCAAGCCCATGGCCTACGCATCACAGGGCATGGCTGGCATGATCTAATGAGATTTGCAACAAATTGGATTCTGTCAATGTTCGTAGCGACGCATATTTTGGTGTTCTTCGGCGCATCAGCATAACGGAATCGCTTGGGCTGTGTTTGATCTTTCGGGACTGGTTGGGATGGAATGCTGATATACGACTGTACTATAGAGACCTCAACGTAGGGTCGATTCCAAGTGTCGAAACTCATGACTGCATGAAGACAAGAATACAACTGTACTATTGACCCAGCATCATGAATCGCGCGTGCGTTGCCCCTCACATGCCGCCCCACGCGTTGTCTTCCTAATGTGGTTAAATCTGTTGACAAACAGGGGTTCGCAGCTTTCATCCGCCAACTTGCAAACAAAGCGCCCGGTGGATCGCGTACATCCACAACCCAGATACATACTGTGTGCTTTTGCGCCACAGTCATTTCTCACGATCCAAATATTAGCAATGTGAAGCTGACTTTGTCTGCGCAAACACAATGTCGCCATATCAACATCTCTTCTCCACTAATGCCGTCCTGGGTGTCTGGCGCAACCTCCGTAACACCAAAGATAACAACGATCTTTTGCTCACCTTACAGTACCACCAAGAAGATCTCCAGAGACAAAAAGGAAAGAAATATACCAAAGGGGGGGTTTCAGAAAGCACACAAGAGGTTTCAGATGGAAAGACAGTGGATGTGGGTGGAAAGAGTATAGGCTTCGTGGTACCATGGCGGGCGATGCAGAGCCAAAGACGGGAGTTGAAGGAAAGGGAAAAGGAGCTTGCTGAAGCACTAGTAGCACTTGCTGGAGAAGTCGCCTTTACTGGTATGTACTTATAGACTTGACATACTCGTCAATGTATTCGAATCTATAGAAGAGCGCGCATGCTGATACCTTGGTAGACCTTGCGCCAACCCTTCAGTCTTCTCTTACTCAGAATCCGCTGGTCCAAATTCGCCACCTCGCAGCCGGTCTATCACGGCAGATGTCCAAAATCGAATTTCAGATGATCGACAATGCTCCCTTCGCCAATGGCAAGAACCTATACACGGGCGGGGAAGTGGCCCAGAAGTTTCTCCCCTCCATCCAGACTCTCTTTGAGCAAAAGCCCGTTCCTCAGCGCATCATCTTCGAACTATTGATGGAACTGAAAGACCTAGTCTACATGGCCATGGCAGGCTGCTCAAAAGAATTCTTAGAGCATGGACTAGACAGCACAGGAACCAGCTCCCTGGAAGAACTCGACGACGCAATCGTACGAGCCATCACACCTCCACCACACACCCTCGAATCCCACCAGCCAAAAGAACTAGAACAAAGCCACAAACGCTCACTTCGCCGCAAAGCCTCAAGCCTCCTCTCCAAACCCCCAAAACAAGATCACCCAGCCCCATCTTTTCTCCTTTCCGTCCCCGAAGAACTACTCTACAACCTCGAGTCCCTCGAAACCACCGCCCTCGCATCCACCCAGCTCCCCCTCCCTACCCCGGACTTCTGCGCCCACGCCATTATAACACTGCGCCGTCTTACCTCCCGCTCGCTTCTATCCGACTTTTCACAGCAAAAGAAGAAGAGAGCGCAAAAATGTGCGGAGTACGCGCGGTGTACCAAGTGGGCTGGAGCGCAATGGCGGCAGAACGGCGGGTGTGGCCGGGGATGCAAGAATGAAGATGAGGACCCGGAGGGTTTGCCGAGTTGGCATAGGTGTAGTCGCTGGTTTGATGAGAGAGGCGGTGGGACGTGTATGGTTGGTGGGGGGCGGGCGGTGGAGAGGGAGGATGGGTTTGGGGTTGTTAGGATGACGGCGGTGTGATACGGATGAAGTGTGGAGATATACCCCTTTTTTGGACTGGCTGGTTGGTGTTTGGTGGGCGGGATTATGTGTGTATGTTACTTTTACGAAATAGTCTTGTGTATGAGATATGTGGATATTGTTTTTAGTGAATCCGAGAACTATATTTTTGTGATATCTATAAATAAAGGCCACACTGTCGTAGAATTATTATCATCGCTCAAATCAAGCATATACTTTAGGTTTTCAACCAGTAATCCCTTGCCTTACAATAACCGCCCCATTAGAACACATTCATAGCACCACCAACCATCCTCCTTCTCCTCCCTCAAACCCCCCACTCACCTCTTCCTCCTTGGATCCTCCCGATAAATATGCGTACCAGACGGAAATCTCCTCGCCGACTCCTCCTCCACGCCCCGCATACTCACATCTTCCCTACCCCCAGCCACCGCAGCCCCCACTCCATCAACCGATGTCCGACGACTCCCACTCTGCACCACAACCTCCCTCTCCATACCCTGTCGACCTAACCCATCCTCTTGCATCACCACATCCGGCCTCTCACGCAACACCAGCACCGTCTCGTCACTCGGGTCAGGCAGTCCAGCATAGCGTTCCGTAAGTTCCTCAAGACTGAGATCGCGGGTTGCTAGCGCTGCTTCTTCGTCGCGGATCAAGTCGCGTAGGTCTGAACATAGAGTGCGGATTTCTTCTGGTAATGTTGGGGTTGAAGGGGCTTTTCCGGTGGGGGATTGGGGAGTAGGGAGGAAGATTGGGTGTGGGGGTGTTTCTTCTGAATTGGGGTTGGTGGGGGCGGCGATGTGGGTGTAGAGTCCTATGCCTTTGATGGAGGGATTGGCGGTTGAGGTAGGAGGGGTTTTGAAGAGGTTGATTATGTCGGAGTTAGCGCGGGCTTTGTGGGCTTCGGGTGTGTTGTTGGTGATGCTGGTGGAGTGGGGGTCGGTTAGGGAGGACATGGTGGCGGTCTGGCATGTGTTAGTTGTGATCTCTTTAGTTTAGATGGAAGGAAGAGACGAGTAGAGAAATATTGTCAAGTCTTAAGAATGGTTATGCAAACTTTATGGTAATGTTTTACATTGATTATACTTGGCATCGTGTTAGAGAAAGAAAATCTAATGTTCTCATACAAATGACAAGAAGAAACTTACGAACGCACTTCCTACAGGTTTGTCCGCTTTCCCAGCCATGGCAATGTATATAGCGGCAATCCTTGATGCATATCATGCAAGGGCCCGTCGCGTACTAGCGGATGAAGTTGAGATAGAACCCATGCATGACAGCCACGCTAGCCCTAATTCATCATAGTCGACCGACCTCTGATCAACGCGTCATTCCCATGTCAATGTATTCGATCTACCTTCGATCTACTCCACAATGTCCGAGCAACGCGCTGAACGTGCAGAAGTGCTGACATCAAGCAAAAATGGCATTGGCTGCCATGTTCCCCGGAACGGGCCAACGTCATTGTACAAAATTGCTTTTGGCTTGTCCAACCAGGCAATGATCTCAGAGCCAAATAGCTAAAGAGAGCACATAGGAACATATTGTGACATATGTAGCAATCATGCAGGCAGCAAGGTTATTTAGGACTAGGATTTCCCTTCAATCTTGCTCCAGTCAAAAAACCTCAATTCTAACACCACGCATATCCGTAGCGAGATTCTCTTCAACTTCACCCAAAACTACTCCGTCTAACAAGCCAAACACCGACCGCTTCGCCGGCCCAGTGGAAACTCCAACAAACAGCACCATGCAAACCATCAAAAACACAATCGCCGAAAACCTCGGCAAAACAGTCTCTGGCGCCCACTCCCTCGCACCCGCAGACCAGCAATTCTCCCTCGAAGAAGTCCCCGACCTCAGCGGCAAAGTCGCCGTCGTAACTGGCGGCTCCGAAGGCATTGGCTACGGCTGCACACACACGCTTCTCTCCAAAAACATCTCCAAACTCTTCATCATCTCCATGAGCAAAGACATCGCCTCGGACGCCACCGCAGCCATCGCCTCAGAACTCGGCCAAGACAAAGCCTCGCGCGTAGAATGGCTCCAATGCGACCTCTCCGACTGGTCTGCCGTGAGCCGCACCGCCTTTGAAATCACCAAGAAAACCGACCGCCTCGACATCCTTATCAACAACGCCGGCCGCGGCATAATGACGTACCAACTCGCCTCCAACGGCGTAGACCTACACATGGCCGCCAACCACATGGGCCACGCAGTCCTAACCTCGCACTTGCTCCCCCTCCTCAAATCTACCGCCGCCACAGGCACCAAAGTCCGCATAGCACAGCTCGCATCCAACGCGCACCAAAACGCTCCTAGCGACACTTCTTTCGCCTCCTTGGAGGAACTAAATCAGGATCTGGGACCAAACGGCCAGTACGGCCGCTCCAAACTCGCAGCTATACTCTACGCTCGCTACCTAGCCCGCCACCTCGCTTCCTCGCATCCAAACCTCCTCGTCAACGCCACGCACCCCGGTGTAGTCGAGACGCGCCAGTCCGTCGAGCACATCCACGAGGCTTACCCACTTGCCGGCTACGGCGTCAGCGTCGCTTTAGCCCCGTTTAAAAAAACACAGTTTGAAGGCGCAGTTAGCACGATGTTTGCGGCGACGAAGACGGAGGTGAGTGGTCAGTATGTTTGCCCGCCTGCTATTCCTGAGCCTGGCAGCGCAATGTCGCAGGATGAGGAGTTGGGGGAGAGGCTTATGCAGTTGACGGAGAGTGTGGTTAGGGAGAAGACGATGGGGGAGAGTGCGGGGAAGGGGTGTCCGTTTAAGTTTTATTAGATTTCTTCTTTTCTTGTGTAGTTACTTGCCCAGTGCGTACATGGCTCAGTTGAATTTCAAACTTCAATTTCTTTTTGTTTTTGTTTTCAATCGCTCCTTTTCACACATCAGTATGTATCTAAGATATACCTTGCAATACCGAAATGTCGGGGACCAAGAATTCTACTTTATAGAAGAGGGTAGGGTGGGAAAAGTCATAAACTCATATGGCTCCATATGCCCGTTGGTATCGCTGAAGCGCCTTGACAAACTTATACATGCTAAAAAAAAAGAAGAAGAATTAACCCACTCCATAATTTCAAATGGATCAAAAGAAGAAGAAACTACGCAATACCCTCCATACCCATCGGAACCTGAAACCCGCTCAACCCCTCACCTGCACTCGTAAGGCGTGCACAAAGACTCAAAAAGACCACCGTCTCCGTCGCAGCGAGATAATTCAATGTATCCAGCAAAATCTTAAGATGCCTTGTGAAATTCTCTTCATACTTGGCGAGCATGTCGAACATCTTGTCGACACGCTGGGGGTCGTACACAAACTGCGTGGTGGGTCTATGTGTGGCATTGAGCAGCGGGGCAGCAGCAGCAGGGGTTTTTGAGGTTTTTGAAGTTTGGGATGGTTGGGGAGGTGCGAAAGTGGCGTTGATTTGAGCGACGAGGTCCGGGTCACCGGTTACGAGGTAGCGGGATAGCGAGTAGGTGAAGGAGGCGAACATGGAGCATGTTTGCATGATCTTGTTGTTGATCTGGGGGGATTTGTTAGCATGGGAAGTGAAGTAGGTGATGCAAAACTTACTCGCAGCAGCTTACTGTTAGTAAGCATGCATTCTTTCAAACAGGTTGCAAGAAAATCAACATGGTCTTGCATCAGTTCGTCTACTGTTCGCTTCACTTGAGGTCCACCGCTCTCATCCTCGTTCATCCTGCCCTTGGCCCTTGCGTCTTGGTTCTTCTCCTCGCTTATCCGCGACATCAATGAGGTCCAGTTGGGCTCAATGACCTCCGATGTACAGTAGTATGTAAGTTGTTGCACAAAGACCAGCATACGTGCACGAAGTGTCCACGCTCGGCGTTTCCACTGTTCAATACGAGGATTCCTTGACCGATGTTTCCAGGCGGCATTCTTGCCCTGCTCGCCCCAGCACTTGGCTAGGTCCGTCTCGAGGTGCTTTAAACTCAGGAGGTATCGGAAGAGTAATTGATAGCGCGTTAGTGTGACTCTGCTGACTACCAGTGACAGTGGGAATGGCATGGCGTAGTCAAAGACTAGTGCTTGGTATCCTGTGATGTTGGTATCATCTGTAATGGGCGCGGAATTTGCCGGCGTATAACTTGACAGTGTAGCACTAGCAGTTTCCTGATCCAGACCCTGGACATTGACAATCTTCATGAGCCAATTCGTCAGACCAGTATTGTTAATCTGGACCTTGATATCTTCCTTGTATGGGTCTTCGACGGCAACCGAACCAGCATGACGTGTAGCGAGATCCAAGAGAGATTGCAGCTTGCCGACATTAACGTGTTTAGCTGGCTTCTTGAGCTCAAGCTCACTCATTTCAAGGAAGTAGGTAAAGAAGTCAGATCTGTCGAGGAAGAAGTAGTGCTTCAGTGAACGCAGTCGTGCAGGGAGTTGATGTGTCGTAAGGAGCAGGTTGAGAAGCGACGAGTTTGCGTAGGCGTATGAGGAGTTGACATTGTCTAGAAAGCGAGGATCGTCAAAGCTAGTTGGCGCGTCCTGCACAATCTTGCTAACATCGACGCCTCCGCACTCGCGGACTACGTTGAGGTATTTGCCTGCTAGTAGTACTTTGTCCTTTACTGCTTCGAGCTGTGGAGGAACAAGGTTGTCGCGTATGGTATATCTCTTCTCCCAGTATTCATCCGTGTAATCTTGATCTAACCGCTCGCGCTTGATGCTCCTCTGCTCCTTGATCAAAAACTCGGAATGTGGGTCTTTGATGCCGCCGTGATGTAACCACTCGTTCAGCATGGCCATGTATGGTCTACTAGCTTCCCGTAGCAGAGTAGTCAACAGTGTGCGCGCTGCTGGATCTCCCGACATTGAAGCAAGGCGTTTTGTGACCAGGCCCAGTACACTTCCGCCTTTGCAGAGTTTCTTGGTCGTGTTGCCCCCTTCTCGTAACGATTCAAGAATATTCTCAAAATCATTGCTATCGTCGTCTGCCGAGTCCTCATCCTTCTCATCCTCCAGTATACCGTTTGCTTTCAACAATTCGATGCCTGTCGTGTAGAGCTGAAACAACATGTGACTTGTTTGTTTTGTATGTAAATTTAGCACGTGGAGGGTGAAGGATTCGTTGGTCAAAAGCTGGTGTTCGAGCTGGGCTACGAGCGTGAGATAGTCCTTCAGCAATCGGCGTACAGCCGCACACAGGGCATGGTTGACAGCACCGTACTCCTCCCTACTCAGAACCTCAACACAGGCTTCGACAGCAATGTAATGGGTGGCAGTCTTTAACATGGACTTGGTCAGGTCGCGCAGACTCGGGTCGAGGCCGGGCATCAGACGAAACTGGGGGCCCACCAGACGCTCCTTCTCTTCATGTGGGTTGTATGCATCGCTGAAGCGAATGTACTGCCCTTCAAAGCCCATAAATACAAACAGCAGATCCTCGAGAATCGCCCTCTCCTGGGCCTCAACTGACAGCTGTGCGAGTGGTGTAGGCTGCAACGACACGGGGGCGGTGGACGCGAGGGGAGGCATGGAAATGCGTGTGGCCAGCGGGGCCGTCGTATGCGGTACCAGCGATGCCTGTGGTTCCCATGGCGTCTGGGGCTCTTCGGGTTGCGACTTTTGCGAGGCAGCACTCCGAGACGGTCTCTCAACATCACGCGCCGGTTTCTCTGCACGGCTTCGAGTACTCGGATGGCTCTCGCTCGAGGACTTCAGCGGCGTCTTGATGCGCCTGACCTCGGTCTCTCGCTCTCGCACCTCGCGCTTTTCGGTACGGCGCTCGCCCGTGGTGGCGCCAGTTGCGCGCATGGTGGCCGAGTGCTTCTTCGCATGCGGTGCTGTGCTGGTGGTGCGGCGATCGTGTTCTTCTCCAAGGGCGACGCGGGGTCGCGAGGCCGACGAGTGGTTTGCATTCACGGAGCGACGTTCAGCCGTAGACAGGGATTTCATTGTCGGAACGGTGCGCGAGGACATGGCGGCGGGGAGAGCACTCCATAGAGGCTGAGCGCTATTGTGTTGCTCGTTGCTGCGCTGGGCCCATGTTTGGGCTGCAGTAGCCGTGTTGATCTTGGTCCCGCTTTCCCACGCGTCACTGCGCGCTACTCGCTAAGCGAACCATGACGCAGACCGGCCTGGCACCTGTCGCTGCTGTTGCATCGCGCCATACATGCTTAGATCCGTTGGGCTGGACGTGGCTATATATATAAGTATATGTATATATATTGTCTGGGCGTGGACACTGCGTCCTCACACTACACGCCATGCCTAAAAGAAGATACGACCAAAGAACCTGGAACTGTACATCTATCTCTTCTCTCCCCTAGCCTACATATGTTGAACCCAGAAACCAATAGAGAACAATGCTTCTCTCGAGTGCTGCTACGCGGTACAAGCGCTACATTTCATGCCAAACACGGGCCTCATGACAAAGAAAATGTAAAAAGAAAAAGAAAAAGAAGGAGCCAAGGTATACCCAAAACGAGACTGGGGCCATCCAAGTTGACCTGAAAAACTCCTTGCCAATGACGCGGTCACAAATTCACATCAAACCTCATATCGTGCTCTCCCCCGACCCGTGACTTCGTTGCCAAACAGACGGCCTGCATCGACGCAGTACCTGGCCTCTCCTTGGCCGTCTCTCCCCACTTCACTGCCCCAGCATACCAGCACTGCATCCAGAATACCGCCGAGGACACCTTCCATGGCGCCTAGAGCACCCCAACCTATTGCTGCACTAATTAGACCAACAACGTAAGCATAAAGACTGCCCTTGTAAGGCACCGTGCCGTTGCCTAATTGAAGCATGCGTGCGGTCGAGACCCAGCCACCAAAGCCGAGTGCTAGCGTGATGACCCAGCGGATGGCATGGAGGAGGAGTTTGGCGAGCCTGTACGACTGTATTGATGGTCGGCCATGGTCCTTGAACGATCTTGGGCCGAGGGTCGTTGTTGGGGATCCTGCAGAAATAAAATTCATTTGGGAAAGACCCAGAGCAGCCTGATTCAGTGGCACGCCGTGAATGGACGCAAAGGTTAGAGTGAGTGGGTTCGTCAAGGCAGCAATCGGAGTCGGCATTATCGAGTAAGCGCACATGCTGATCATGCCGGCAATTCTCCTCGGGAGAACAATGAGCGGCAGGCGAACTACAAGGGAAATGAGCGTTGACAAGCAAATCGTGCCAGCCATGGTATATGTCGCGTGGCTGAGCGAGGCTTGAACAACGGTCCTGGGAGAAGGCGCCGGCACGCTGTTGCGATGAAAATACCACTGAGAAACCGTTGCTGCTGTAGTCGCCCTCTGCACACCTGCAATGACAGCCAAGGTCCAGAAGTAGTCCAAAAAGAAAGCAATACCAAGCCACCATGTGCTTGCATCGATGATCCACCGAGACTTGTTGCCTGCAAAGTGACCCCCAAGAAACAAATGTGTGAACATGAGAAGCCACAGCCAGGACCAGAGAATGACAGCGGCCAGTGTTGCAATGCCCACAAGGAGCAAGGGAAACTGCGCCCTCAAGATTTCGCTAGAAAACTCCAACATGCCCGTGGCCTTTTCCAGTGAATGACGCGCCTTGAGAATGGTATACACCCAGGAGCCAGCCAATATTAATGGGCCAAACGAGAGCCAGCGCATCATCCGATCCTGAATGCTGTCGCCATGCCAATACCCTTTGAAACTTGACACAAAAGGGTAGAAGAAAAAGGACACGGAGATGACCGGCACTGCCAGTAGCATCAGGCTCACCAAAGGCCGGGCAAAGGACCGTAATAGGGATAGCCATAGAACTCCGACTATGACTGAGACGAGGGAATAAACACCAATCAGGTGGAATGACGAGTGCAAGACGGTGTAAATGGTGTCGCCCAACGGGTTCTTCTTGTTGGGTGGCGACTCTTGTAGAAATGAAATGAACCATGTGCCCAGAATGGCACACTGGACGATTATGAAGAGCTCAGCCCAGAAGAAGTTATGGCGCGGCGCTATCGTCGGGTTTTCCGGTACGTCATCGGGAACGGTTTGGCGATCCGGACTCATGGGCCGTGGATGCTCAAGCAGGGTATCCTCGTCGGTCTCCTGGGGTATGGGGAGGGTATTCCGGAGCTGATTGCGGCCGCGTTTTTGCCTTGGCATATTTCGAAACTGTTGGAATGATGGTGGTGGTTCGTCCTGATGACCTAGCAACTCGTCCCGATCCACCTCTTCCATGCTCTCTCGATCTGTTGATTCGAGCTCGACATCTACCAAATTGCCTCTCCCCCTACTGCTGCGATCGGTGGTTTCGGACAAGGGAACACTGGATTCCCGCTCTTCGTCGTGTGATTGTTTGTCGGTTGTAGACCTTCCACGCGCAGGCTTGTCGCCTATCCACGAGCTCTTGATTCCCCGCCCCAAACCATAAGCCGGAGAGTCGTGGTCGCCCCTGTCTGCTTCTATGGTATGATCTGATCGTTGGACAAGGTCGTCTTCGACCTCTGATGATTCTGACAAGTTGCTTGCGCCAAACTGCCGCCGTGAGCGCTGCAGGGCATAGTGGTCTGCCATTTCCCGGTCGTGCTCGACATGATCGTCTTCTTCCCGGAAATCATCGGTAGCGGAGTAGAACAGGGGGGCGGGCGCATTCGAGGTTCGGGAGGCAAAAGTGAAGCGGCTCATGGCCTGTGAGTTGTAAGGGTTAGGCATGTTGCGGCGCTGGAGGTAGGTCTGGGCAGCGCGCGATGACGGGCGTTGCCTCTCGAGGGTGTTGCGGGTCGAGGTTGAGTCTGGCTGGCCGAGCGACAGGCGGGACTGCGACTGGGAGAGGAACTTGGATGCATCTGTGAAGCACGCATGTCAGTCACGCGAGTGAGGCAGAGGACCCAAGACACGAGGCGGTGGCCTTGTCACATGTACCTGATAAGGCGCGGGACTACTTACATTCGGAGAACATGATGGGCTGGGACGAGCGATGGGCGGGATCAGAAATAAGTGGCTTTGCAGTGGCGGCCCGAGCCTATGTACTGTGGATGCAGCGCCAGGGCAAGCATGCAGTCGGGCGAGAGGTCAGCGGTGGTGAGGCGGTCGAGCGCAAGGGTACCGTAGTACGAGAGGCAGGCGCGGATGACGCAGTCGAAGAGACATGCAGCCTGACGCGACCAGGCTGAGTGATTCAGAATGACGACGGCCGGCGGCGAGTGGTGGTGATGGCAAGGTCCAGAGAGTATGTAAGGTGGTGGGAAATAGATTACTAGGGCGCTAGGACATGGGGCGCTATTGAGGCTGAAGCTATCGGGCGAGTTGCTGTCGATGGGCGTTGCTCATCGTCGCAGAGCCAAGCCAGTGCGCGTCGGGTTATCGATAGCTGTCGGGGCCGACATCCTCGTGAACAGGACAGGACATGTACCCACGCGCCGCTATCCTCCCTAGCCTGCACGCTGCCATCCACCCAGCCTGCTAGCTACCCACCTTTTTCACGTTGGCTGTTGCCTGAAGTTCTCGACACGACTGTAGATTTCGCATGTGAATTTCTTTCAGAGGGCGCAGCCGTATTCTTGGTGCCTTCAAAGTCCAGCAGGACCGTCCGGAGATACTTCGGCTGGCATGTCAAGTAGACATGCCGAGTACCAGCCACAGCGAAGAAATAAAAAAATAAATGACAGATGCGACAGACATGCCATCAACACTTGGTTGGGACGGGACGTCCAAGTCTGCACTATTTGCATTTGCAGTTACATCGTGGTTCGCCGTCTCCTTCGACTCAAGCGGCTGCCGAGCTATGACCGCATTCTTGAACCCTGACCTGACCTCATCTGTATCCCCATCGACCCAACTTTCTCCCGTCAAACCCGCTAACACGCTTCTCACCTTGCCAACTGCTCGTACCTGCACAAAAACCGCGTCTCCAAACACACTATAGCTAGCCTCTCTCGCACGTGGTGTAGAGCATCACATAAGCCACCCTCCGAGCCCCGGCTCCCATACCCGCCGTCGCACGGCGTTGCAGACGATCATGGCTCAACCATGGGATTACATAGCAAAAATCGTATCCCTAGGCGACTCCGGATGCGGTAAATCAAGTGTATGCGACGACGATATCAACAACATGGCCTGCTCTTCCCCAGCGCTGACCGAGTGTAGCTCACAGTCCGGCTGTGCGAAGGCCGCTTCTCACCACACCACGATGTAACTATCGGCGTAGAATTCGGCTCGCGCATAGTCCCCGTCGGCCCCCCAGCCTCATACGCCCTCAACATCAATAACCCCTCGGCTGCGGCCCAAGCACAAGCCCCCATCTCCCCCGCGAAACAAAAACAAGAACAAAAGCACATGAAGCTGTCGCTCTGGGATACCGCCGGCCAAGAAACATACAAGAGCATCACCCGCAGCTACTTCCGCGGCGCCTCAGGCGCATTGCTGGTCTTTGATATCTCGCGCAAAAACACCTTTCTCTCCGCAACCTCGTGGCTGCACGATCTCCGTCAAATCGCCGAAGAAGGCATCGTCGTCGTCCTCGTTGGCAACAAATCCGACCTCGCCTCCGAAGCCGCCGCAAACAAGCGCCAGGTCTCGCGCGAAGAAGCAGAAGAATGGTGCAAAGCAAACGGCGTCATGCAGTATGTGGAGACGAGCGCAAAGAGCGGAGAGGGCGTCGAAAGAGCGTTTCTGGAGGTTGCAGAGAGAATATATCAGAATATTGAGGCGGGCAAGTACGATTTAAATGATCGAAGGAGTGGTGTTAAAGGGCCTGGGGGTGGAGGCGCGAATAGAGGTGGTGTCAATCTTAATGATGCGAGTAAGAAGGGGAAACAGCAGGGTTGGGGGAGCTGTTGTTAGGTTTTATGATGGGGGGTTTTTTGTTGCATGGAAACGGGGAATTGGGAAATGGCACTGTTCTGTTTTTTTTCTTGCAAGATATCATAATGAGGGATGTTTGAATGTATAACATCATGGCATGGCTACCTCTTTTTTGGCTACCTCGAACGGGTTTCAGGGGGCGATTGCGGCGCCCACTACATAGGTATAGTATGCGTTTGTTTCAATAGAGATATTCATTCATAATACCTTCAGTTTTTTCCTCATGCCTCTAGTATTCGAAATGCACAATGTTACACGGGGTTTGTGTGCCTCTACTTCTCCAAGTTCGGTCTAGAGTTAGAGCGAGTGAGATTCTTTAAAGAGACCTATAAGAGTGTTACAAGTAACAATAGAAAGGATCCTCTCCCTAGGGATGATAGTATAATGGTTAAGAAACCACTTAGGATACTAACTCGAAACGATGTGTTACACGGGGTTGGGTGCTGATACTTCTCTAAGCTCGATCCAGGTTAGAGCGAGTAGGAATAGATAACTAGCTCCGTAAGGGTTGTCTAGCGATTTGTAGTAGCAAGAAATTATATATGTAACCAGAGGTTTTAACAAACACTAATCTATATTTTTACGCACTGCCATCCTAGATAGCCAGCCTTGGCGGCATGGCACATTACGTGACCTTAAGCCCCGCAATAATCATCATTCTGACGTGGACGTCTATAGGCCTTCAGCCGTCTCATCACTTGTCAAGGAGAAGATCCTTGTTACTTGTAACAACATCAGTGACATATGGTACGATTAAAGAGCTTGAGAATAAGCTCTCTATTTAGGCTGGTATTGGCGGAGATGATTACGAAAAACAATCCTGACATGGAGACTACTTACCACGCTAGACGTATTACACTGAAGCTCGCATAAGTCCAGGTGCACCGTCTAATAATAAGGCGGGATCTAAGTTTCCATTAGGAACCAGCTCTCCAAATAGACATAGTAAGGATTGAGGCTTTTTCTCATTCAATTCCACGAAGTTTCTCTTTAAACACGCTTAGAAAAGTATTTTAGCTTTTTTCTTAATTATAAGCTGTGATACAGTGGCCCAATACCTATGTTAACGAACTGTAAGTATGGTTTCGAGGACCTCTCTTCTTAACGTCCTCCTTTAACCACCCTATGGCCATTTCGCCCAATCGACTATTTCCTGTTTGTGCCACTATGCCATCATAGCTCGGCAGGATCCTCTCTGTCTCGCCCCATTGCTTGACTGAGCCTAGGCTCATGTGTACCAGGTGCGACGGCCATCCCGCAAGGTTGTCCAGAATGTGCGTGGCATAAACAACTGTACACTCTCTCTCTTCTGTCTCATGCTTCAGCCAGCCTAAAAACTCAGCGCGACTTAGGACATCCAAATCAACAGTGATTTCATCGAGAAACAATATCGTCCACGGTCTCAGCAGTCCCATTGCGAGCTGTACGCGGCGTCGCTCACCATCTGAGACTGCATGCAATCGCCAATTTGTATCAATATCGAGCATAGTGACGAGCGCATCTCTTCTCTCAGGATAGTCATTCCCGCCTACCGAGCGGAGTAGTTCCATCACCTCGATGTCGTGACGGACAATAGGATTAGTGGCCCATTCAAGACCAAGGTACGTCACGCCTGCGAGGGACTCTTGGAAGGGATCTATGCCACAGATACGGATGGTTCCTGCTGGGGGGACTCGTGTCCCTGAGAGAAGCTTTAGGAGGGTAGTTTTGCCAGAACCATTAGCCCCAATAAGCAGGGTGCGTGATCGAGGAGGGAGGTCGAGCGTGACGGAGTGAACTCCTGTAGGATAGCTAGGGAACGTGAATGTTAGGTCACTGACCTGAATGCGGGGTGGGGCGGGCATTTTCGATCGAGCCAAAATAGGATTGATCATTAGTTGGTAGAAGGGGCTTAGATTTGAATTTGTAATAATTTTAAAGCATGAAAGGATGTTTCTGAATGTCCTTAGTATGCCGTCGCGAGTGCGATATTTATATCCATACACAACGTGTGATATAAACGACAAAAAAGCCCCTTAGGTCAGCGGTGAGAAGAACGTACACAGTACTTATCGAGATACTGTAATCAGCCGCGTCCGAAAGCATTGACAGGGGTACGGCAGGGATCACAACTAGGTATAATCAATGTGGCGGTTTAAGTAAGTCTCTACATCAGGGATGTCACACGGGGTTGGGTGCTGATACTTCTCTAATGCTCGATCCGGGTTAGGGCGGGTAGGATAACGTGAATAGCTCCGTGAGATTTGTCTGGCGATGCAATGGAGTGGGCGTGCTTGTAAGATAGATAACAATAGGTTTGACAATTCCTAATCTATATCAAATAGACTAACAAGTATCAATCTTATGAAGTTAAGTAACTANTAAGAAAGTACAATTTGAGTTGACCACAACGAGAGTAATAATGAAATCC